TCATCGTTGTTACATCACACCCTGACTGGCTCATCTCCTCCCCGAGCAGTTCAACTCACTTTTGTGGAACAGTTAATATACTGAAAGTCCTTCAACTCACTCAGGCTGCTGGTCCAAGGTCAAGGAAGCAGACAGCAGTCTTCCCTGAGGCATGACAGGCAGAGTCTTCCCAAAGGCAGCAGGCAGCAGGCAGCAGAGTGGGTCAACAATAGTCAGTAGCTCGGGAGCTTAGCGGAAACAGGCCCTGAAGGGATCTCGAACTCAAGCAATACAAGGAGACAGGATCCATCAGCCTCAAGCTCAAGCGATGTGTGCACCAGCAGTGTTCCTATTGGCCTAGTTGTCACAATAAACCTAACTATTACACCACCCATGCATCCTTCAAGTTTTGGATGGTGGCACTAATCTCTGCAATCCTCCAGGAATGTGGTATTGCTTTTGGCTTTCTACTTGCCTAGGCAATGACAGTTCCAATTGTGTCCACTTGGCCAGCTGGCCAAGTAGCTACCTTCCAAATTTCCTGGCATAGACGAGTGATTGTTAACAGTGCTTCTTCGGCCTATTGAAACATTTCAGTTTGTATTCCATCAATTCCTGGATCCTTATTTTTGGTTTATGCTTTTAGTGCAGCTTGAGCTTCCTTCAGGTACCTCCTAAAAGGGTGAAATGTTAACCAGTTCTTTGGGTACAGTGACTCTGTATTCTTTCCATCTTCTTTTAATGCTTCCTGTATCATTCAATATTTTGCCCATAGAATCTTTCAATATTGAAACTTGGGATTTGAACTTTTTCTTTAGTTCTTTCCATTTAAAATATACTGAATGTCAGTGGCACTGAATTGGAGAATGTTTTGTTGCGTATATTTTTGCCACAATTAAAAAAATAATAATTACAGTAAATGATATTGCATACGAGGAGGAAGAAAATGTTCTGGGGTTGATTGTGGTAGTGATTGTACAACTTTCTTTGATGTGATTGAATTGTTGACTTGTATGATATGTGTATCTAGTGCCAATAAAACTGGTAAAGGGTGGGGGAGAAGAGACTCTAAGGTAGATGTGGTGGTGGTTGGACA